AACAACCTAAGACTCCGCACTGAACGTACCCGAACCGCTGATGAACAGCAGTCGATCTGCGCACGCAAGGAGGTGCTATTTCTATTCTTCTTCTGGAAAAACGAAAGAGAGCTTCAAAACAGACTGTAGCGCCATCTGAAGCAAAGAGCATACTTCCTGCGGACACTTTTTAGGCTGAGTGGCCCATCTTGTCTTGTACTATCTTTGTCTATATCTATCATTCTAACCTCGATGCCAGCAATGATGAGCAGACATCCTCTGACGCCGTACTCTTCTCGCGTGTACCGTGATAGGGGTGGGATGGCCATCGAGCAGGTGCTGATTCCGAGCAAAGCCACAGCGGTGGCCAGTGATCGGCGCTTCTTGAAGTAGTGCCCGACTAGGGTGATGGCCGGAACACTCAGGCCGCCTTGGCAACACGCTGTCAGGAAACAAGCCCAATTTTAAACTCTCAAAATGAATAAAACAAACAAACAAGTCCTCCTTTGATTTAAAATTCTGCTCGTCCGTCCGATGTTCTTCTTTTCATCCACCCATCTCCTCCCCCTATCTCTCCATCTTTTCATTAAAATACCCATCCATCCATCCATATATCAATTCATCCACCCATCCATCCATCTATCAATCCACCAATTTAATTGTCCATCCATCCATCCACCAATTCAATTGTCCATCCATCCATCCATCCTCTCATCCATCCATACATCATCCACCCATCCATCCATCCTTCCATCTACTTACACTGTCTGTCTGTGGCGGAGAGGGGGCACTCTCATGCTCTCCTGATTACCAGCAGATCCCTGGTTGAAGGCCTCCGTAGCTTTGACAACTCTCTTATGTGTTGGCTTATGGGCCTAGTCTCAAGTTTAAATAAGCCTCGTTGGCTCAGCACATACTGTTGTTCTGAACAGAGGAGCCGGAGACTTTAGTTCAAAGCCCATACATGACATAACTGAACATAACAATTTCATGTTATTAGTACACATATTATTTGGTTTTGTCTTATCGGAGATAAACATTTAAATCGGAGATCTGTGTGGGCAAGAGCGCTGAACCTATACCAATCAATGCCATGATAATTTGCGGGGGTCTCCGTCGGAATTGTTCAAAACTGGCATTAACCGGCATAAATCGACAGGCTTCTTACCTTTTAAAGTACTCGCTACGAAGAACACTGGTAGCAAAGGGGCAGCAACAATAGCGAGAGTGCAGCAGGAGAAGGTTACAGCTGCGACGACCATGAACAGCCTCTGGGGTACCCGGGGTAGGACCGCGTTTACCATCACTTGTGCTGAGGACACAGCTTGGCAATAAAAGCTGTTCGGAAGACCGACAGACACACACTCACACAAT